TTGCCACTTGATAGAGGTAAACTCTGCCATCCACATCTTTTCTCTGAGTTTCAGCTCTCATCCATAATCTAGGGATAAGACCATCTACTTTGTGGGATTAATCTGGATGATTAAATCAAACGTCATTATCTATGTAAAGTTCTTAGTAAGTGCTTGACACATAATGCACGCTTAGTAAATTATGGCTTCACTATTTCTCTTCAAGTGCTCAACTCTTTCCATCCTTCATTCCAGATGCATTTACAAAATATTTACGGAGTGCCTACTTTGTGCCTAGAATTATTCAAGGTGCTTGGAATGTACCAGCAGACAAACAGGCAAAAGTTCCAGTCCCTGAGGAGTTTAAACTCTAGTTCTATGCTTAGGTCTCAGTTCTCCCAAGTTTGTGTTAGAAACCTCCACTTCTGTGTCTCTGTGTCTTCTATCAGAGCATTATTTTGCTGCAGTCACACTGCTTGCCTATCTACTCCTTTTTCCTGAAGAGTTTGAGTACTTTGATGTCTTGGCACCACTGGATCATTATTTCCTAACATGGAACCTAAAAGATACCCAGCGAATATCTGTCGAATGAATTGATGAATGGGATGGAAAGATGAGTAGATAAATAATGAGAGTGAGCTGCTATTCACTGACCCTGGTTTGCTTTATACTTCACTTTCTTAGTTTTGTCCAGAGCCTTTACTTCTTGGAGAAATCTGAGGTTTCCATGCAGGCCAAGGAGCACCAGTGCTCAGTGCAGAAGCACGTGACAGCCAAACCGAGAAACGAAAGCTTCTCTGCTTTTTCTTCCCAGCCAGAGGCATAAGGAACTGGCTGTGTGACTCGTGCCACTGGATCCCAAGGGTGGGTCACAGGAGCTGACTGTGGACTAGCGCTCTCTGATTTGCAATCCTGTCTTCTACTTGCTATATCTAGAAATTTTCCCAGATTGGATGCATTTCTCAGCTCTAAAATTCTGCCTTCACATTATTGCAGTAGGAGGTAGTATGGGTAATGATAGTGGTTAGGAAGGTAAAATTTGGAGTTAGATGAGTTTTAATCCTATCTATGTCATTACTAGCTGTATGAAGTTGGATCAATCACTTCTCTGACTTTCAGCTTTCTCACCTGCCTCATAAGTGTTTGTAAAGCACTTAAAGCAGAGTAAAGACTTAATAAATGGTTGTCATTATTACTGTCATTGTCCGCATTTCAGTAGGGCACCCAGAGCCAGTGAGGATCCTTACAGACAATTTCTGCTGAATGCTTTTTACTCAAAAAAAAAGTGTATGAGTCACCTGCCACCTAAGACATCTTCTCTGTGTCTAACCACAGTAAGGAGCTTAATGTGTTGTCCTCTCATTTTTCAGATATGGAAATTAAGGCTCCAATAGGTAACACAAGGTGTCTTGATGTCACCTGGTGAGTTAGTTACTAGCAGCGTTGGCCCTAGTCCCCTTCTCCTCTGCTAATGTCAGTTCTTATTCAATGTAGGGGTTTCCACTTAAGGGAGATGGAGATGTTCCACATTTCTTCCTTGCCCTGGCCAAAAGTAATCAGTCTACTAGAAGTTTCCATGGGGTAAGCACGGAAGGCTCTCTCTTCATCAATGTCATACCTTGGGAAACTATCTCCAGTGTAGATAACAGAAAGAATAAATATTTTCGTTGAAAGAAAAAAATGAAGACAAAGGTCAAAGGGAATCATGTAATGGGTTTGAGTCAGAGAAGAAAAAGAAAGCATTTTTCTCTCTCCTCTTTTTCTCCAAAACAGTCTTTATATAGAACTTGTATAAGAGCCAATTTATTTGATATGGAAAAAATGTGAAAGCAGCAAAACACACACACACACACACACACACACACACACACGAGGTATTTGTGGTGGGATTCAGAACTCAAATTACTGAGAGATAAAGGAGTTGAAATGGTAGGGGGGTGTGGAATTATGTCTTTCCCTTTATTCAGAGTGTCAGAGAGAACATTTAGGTCAGCAAGCCCAGCCCAGCACAGCCCAGGTCTCCAGTACACTCCGTGGTACTCAAGAGAGACAAAAAGGGAGCCCAATCACTGCCTCACCCTAGCCCTTGTGCCTGTCACATAGTAGGGACGAAAGAAATGTTTGGTGAGTAAATGAAAGAACAAATAGTGCATACAAGTGTGGACTGAATAGTGATGGTTTGGGAAGTAAATTGGAACAGGACTGGACATTTTGACAAAGCAGATAAGGTCCTCAACACTCAAGGATCATTAGTGCCTTCAGGAAAGGGATGAGTCTGAGACACCCTTGCACTGTTCCCACTACAGACTCTGATGTGTAGAATGTTCTCAGTATATGTGTGTGCACTGCAGAAGTAATCGAATGAGTGAAAGACACCTTGGAGATTCCTGGACCTCGCAGATCATTTAGTGCCGTGGCTGTTTGACTGTAAGCAGCAGCAGACTCACTTTGAGAGACTCTGCACTCAGAGTGTCAGATTCAGCGAGCTGGGCTGGGGCCTGAGAACCCGGCCTTTCCAAGTGGCCACGTGACATGATGTTGCTGACATAGGGCCACACTTTGAGAACCTGTTTTAGTGCAGTGTTTCCTAAACTTGGTTGTGCATTATAATCACTTGGTGAGATTTTAAAAGTCCTGATGGCTAGGTCTTAGTCTTACCAATTAAATTGATACCTGGGAGTCAGGGATGGAGGGTGGAAAGTGTATGCAGGTGAGACCAGGCAATTTTAAAATGTCCCACATTTTTGTAATGTGCAACTGACTTTGAGAATCACTAGTCCAAGTGCAACTTCCTCTGTGTGGAGTTGAGACATCGGAAGACCAGAAAGGGTATGTGACTCACTTAAAACTGTAGCGCCAGTTAGTGACTTAGCTGAGAATAGAACTGAGGGTGCTTTCCCTTCTGCAGTTTAATTTTCACCATTCCACACTTATCAGCCCATGCCAGCTCTCACAGGCTCATAACTCGAGGCAAAAAATGAGAGCTAAGTTTAAACTGAGGTTTTAAGACATCTATTATTTCTTCCCTCCATTGTTTTACAAAGAAATTTTAAGTGGATGCATATTTATAGAACTCTACTACTCTAGACAAGTGAGGAGATGGAAGAGACAGCGTTATGGAATATTTTTCAGGAAGAACATCCTTTACATTTTAAGTGCATTCTCAAACACAAATCAAATGCTCCCTCTGCATTCTTAAACAGATGTTCTTCATCTCTGATTCAACGAATGGGTAAGGGTTTGCTAGTGATGTGCACATTAATTGCTGGCATGTAAAAGGAAGTGCTGGTAAAGTGTTTGAAAGTGCTTCTGTCTCTTAAAAAGATTAAAAGTTTCCTCCAGAACTTGGTTTCCATTAGTAAATATTTTCAAGTAGACAGAGCAGAGATTGTGCCTTATATCATCTTAGAACCAAATAAAGAGCCACAAAAAGCCTATAGAAAACCATTGACTTCAACATTTTCATCAGTTGAAGGAGGAAATTGAGGCTCCAAGAGATTGACTGGTTTATTTAACATTAGTAAGTGAACTGGCCGGGGCTAGACACAGGGTGTCTAACTCCTGAGCTATTTTTCTTTCTAATACTCAAAGTGTTGCCTACCAACGTCTCTCACACATAGTAGGTGTTCAATGAATTTATGGTGATTGACTGTATGAACTTTTGGTACCCAAATTAGGTGGCTAAAGCTCTAACATTTTTTTAGATTAAAGTAGAAATTGGAATCACATCTTTAATGAACACTGGTTAAGTGCACTGGCTTAGGAGTCAGGATAGAATTCCAGTTCTTATCTAAGCACTTCCTAAGTGTGTGATCTTGGATAAGTGACTTTAGGAAGTGACTCTGAGCCCCAGTTTCCTTCTTTGTGAAATAAGAATGATAATAAGGCTGTGGTAGCGGAGAGGTTGAAATGAGTAAAGGACACAGAGACCTTAGCCCATTGTCTGATCCCTAGGAAAAGCACTAATGACCTCATAATAAAGTGGCCTTCTTCATGAAACAGAAATTCTGAGGATGTCTGGGGAAGAAAGAAGTGATAGAGAAGTGTCTTGGGAAATGAATATTAAAGACAAGCACTGCATCACATAACAGCAGTGAGCATCCAAAAAGAATTATGAGACCTAGAGCTGCAAAGACCCTTAAGGATCAGATGGGTTTGAACCCCGGGTCCAGCTCAGGAAATAAGATGAAAACAAGCAGCATTGTGATGGGTAATGTTCACTTTCCAGCAAAGTTTTTGCACAAATACCCAAGAATGTGCCCAATTCCCAGCCAACCTGCTATAACTTCACTCCCTTTCGTCTACTCAAAAAGCAATCAGGCCGGGCGCTGTGGCTCACGCCTGTAATCCTAGCTCTTGGGAGGCCGAGGCGGGCGGATTGCTCGAGGTCAGGAGTTCAAAACCAGCCTGAGCAAGAGCGAGACCCCGTCTCTACTATAAATAGAAAGAAATTAATTGGCCAACTGATATATATATCTAAAAAATTAGCTGGGCATGGTGGCTCATGCCTGTAGTCCCAGCTACTCGGGAGGCTGAGGCAGGAGGATCACTCGAGCCCAGGAGTTTGAGGTTGCTGTGAGCTAGGCTGACGCCACGGCACTCACTCTAGCCTGGACAACAAAGTGAGACTCTGTCTCAAAAAAAAAAAAAAGCAATCAGAATGCACGAATCTTCTTCAAAGAAAATCGTTAGCAAACTTTGGTCCTTCTACTTTTGTTAGTAATAAGTGACTTTCTCACGTGAATGTCATCCAACCTCCTTCCTTTACTGTTGGGATGACTAAGTTTCAGAGAAGTCGGTGACACATCAGTGTTATTACCAAATCTAGGCCTTCTAGTTCCTTCCCCCGCTATCAACTCTGCCTTGGTAAGACGGTTCTGCACCCAACACTGGGTGACAATCTCTAGGCGTGAGCCTGGCTGTGATCAACCTTCTCCTTCTTGTCCAGGCCTCTCTGACTCTTCTCACATCCCTTCATCAGCCCACCCACTCGATCATCTCCCTATTCAGAAGGCACTTACGTGTCCACGAATCTTCTATTGAGGCGCAGGATGGAGGCCACCTCTGCTTGGAGGGGAGGGTCTCGGACTACCTTGTACTGCAGCGGCTTACACTCCAGGCAGAGCGGGGAGTCTGCAGTGGAGGTCAGCATGGCCGCGTCGATCTCCAGGTGCTCGTCCAGCGTGTAGATCTGGACGCCGTACACCTCCTCGCCCACGTCCCGGAGCCTGATGGTCAGTGGGACGTCGCAGAAGACATTCTGAGGCCCCAGGGAGACATTCTTCCCACTGACAGTCAATAGTTTGATGTCATTGACAGCTCCACTGGAGTCCCAGTCAGTGGAGACAAAGGTCACCCAGACAGTCAGAGATTCGGGGACCAAAGGGTAGAGGAATTCCAGCTCAAGGTAGCAGCCTTGTGGCTCAGGGCAGGCTGGAGGGACCGTGTGAGGATTGACAGCTGAATTCGGGCTCCACGTGCGGACGCTGGACTTACAGGGCTGTTCGACATCCGGGTGACCTATGGAGGAGAGATGGGGAAATGAGTTCCTGTGGGATGACCTTCACTCTGATCCTCAGTGTGTCCTGCAGACTCCAGGAGAGACTGATCTGACCAGAATTTAGACAGAGGGGAAAAGGAGAGGGAGGATTCTTGGTGTCTTGTTGAATCTGCTGTATATTCAGTACCCACCTCAACCACTGTGATACAGATCTCTTAAGAATCACCAGATATTTAGTCAAAACTACATTCAAATCTGTGTCTTACTACTGAGTTGATGTGTCCAAACTTTCCTTCCTTGTCTTCCATTTGGAGGCATTGCTGCATAAGATGAAAGGAAGGCAAGGGGCACATATTGGCCAGACACCCTCTGTGTCCCATGAACTTGTTTAATTCTTGCAAAGACTCTCTTCAGAGGTGAGGAAGCTAAAAATTCAGAATCACAGAGTGAATTGGCCAAGGTCATACAGCTTGAATTTTAAAGGTGTCGGTATTAGAACTCAGTTGTGTCTCATTCTGAAATCCGGATGATTTGTTCTTTTCCTCATTGGGAAAATGAGGCCCCTCTAGTGCAGGGGCCACTGGAATAAATGAGAATCCCTGAGGTGTTACTGCCGTTGGTACAATATACTTTGGCTGACGGAAGTCCTAGAAAACTCCAAGCAAAGAGGAGGTAAGCATGGATAGTATCTGCCCCTTGGACAGAGGACCTGGAGGGAAACTGTCTAGAACCATGAATGACAGAGCTGGAAGGCAGCCCTGGAGCCATCTTATCTCTCCCCCTCCCCTTCCCCACATGAGGTCATTCCATACCACTGAGCTTCTCTGAGCTCTGTCCAGTCTGACTCCGGAAGGGGAGGGTTGGAGGGGGGGATTCTTCTACTCTTTCCCTAGGGTGATGATGCCTCCTCCTCACTGATCTCAGCCTGCTGCGACTTCTAAATTTTTCTCTGCTGAGATCACAGCTAGACCCTCAGAGAACTGCTGAGAAAAGTAATCAGGACTCAATGTAGCAATTGGCTCTAACTTGTTTAAGGGAGCCTCATGAGAGATACAGATCAGCTGGTGAGGATAGGATGGAGGATCTCAAGATGTCCTATTAGCCACATAGTTTTTTTCATCAACATCATGGTTGGTTGAGGGGTGGGGTCGCTGGACATTTCTAAAGCAAAAAAAAAAAAAAAAGTAACCTTTGTTTGAAACTGCTTTGTGGCCATGGTACAGGGTAACAGGAATCACCACAATATGAACACTAGGAAGCCATTTGGAGTGGAAAAGCTATTCCAGGTATATTTCATCAGAACAAGAAGAGGTGGGTCTGAGTATAATATTCCCTCCATTTCTCCTTGGCAAGATGTGATCATTACTCCCAGTAACTGCCGGCTCGGAGTGACCCTTAGCTTAAGTGAAAAGCACAAATAAGACTCCTCACCTAGCTGAAGCCTTTCTTCTTGTCTACTCTCTGGCCCACTGAGTTCTTAACTCTCTTAGCTTTGTGAGCTGTTGACACACATGTATCACTTATCCATTCAGTAAAGTTTATTGAGGGTAGCACTTTATGGTATATAAAGCCCTAGTCATTAGGTAACTCATCTGACTGTCACCCAAATCCCATAAGAGAGTTTTCATTTGCATCTCTACTTTATAGCTGTTTCACTCAATGCCATGTAGCTTTTGCTTAATGCAGTATGCCTGGTCCATAGAGAATGCACACAGTGGATGCTCAATAATATTTGCTAAGTGAAGAACTATCTATCTATCTTGTTAACATGGAGTTAAAAAAGAAGTTACAGCATGGAATATTAGAGCCTGCTTCCTGATGGTGGGTGCCAGGTGAACATTGCACCCCCCTCCAGGAGCTTTCTCCTGGAATTGGCACAGGCTAAAGCAATCTTTCTTCCTTGCCTAGAGAAAATGAGTGTCAGGGGAAGGAAGCCACAGGAGAGCAAAGATGACAAATCTGCTTGGCTCATCCTTCCTCCCTGGTTTCTTGTTCATCAACAGAGGGACCAAATGCTTCCAAAGGACAGGAAGGTGAGTCTGGTCATTATGCACAAGTAGGTAAACAGGAGTAGAAGTCTTAGCAAAGCTTGTGCTTGTCTGGTCATTAAAGACAAACTCTTAGATGTAAAATCAAGTCTCAAGAGTTACTCTGTCCAACCCATTGCCAAAGTAGAAATACCACTACTAATGCTGGGCTTCATGAACTGACCATCCTCTATGTGTGAGGCACATTACATGCATCAGCTCTTTGCATCCTGGCAGTAAGTCTATGACACAGGTCTTTTGAAACTCATTTTACAGAAGAGGAAACTGAGCCTCAGATGGCTCAATAATTCCCTGGTGGGGAATAGAATATTATGTGATGCTGTTGGTCCAGGCAATGTGCCAAGCTTTGAAGCAATGAAAGTCGGGTTAAAATGTCAGCTATGTAGTTTCTCATTGTGTCACCTACTGTAATGTTACCAACCTCAGGGTTGCTGGAAAGCTCAAATGGGATGAGATCTTTACTAGATGCTCACACATATTTAATATATTAGCTCTGTCCTGAAAAGTGAAGAGGAGCTAACAAGGAGGAACCAAAGGTGAGGGGGCATTTCAAGCAAAGAAAACAGTTGAGAGAGAATGTGAGTTACGATGACCACGGTTTTGAGTGCAACAGGAGAGCAGCCAGTGCTGAGGCTGGACAGCTAAGTGGAACCCAGACTGTGAAGGGTCTTATACATCACATTAAGGAAACTGAGCTTTGTACTGAGATAGATGGAGAGTTACCCATAAATTTTAAACAAATGAGTGACATAGACTTGTTTAGAAAAACCACTGATTAAAGACACAGGTACTATCCATCCATTTGTCTAATCATCCTTCTAATCATCTGTCCATCCATACACCTCTCCATGCATCCAAAGAGTAATTAAGTGCCAGGTCTGTGTCCAGAGTTAGGCTAGTCCCTAGGGGACAGGTTTCCTGACATGGTCGCTGCTCTCATGGAGCTTCTAGTCACGTGAGATCACTTAGGAGACTGGTGCACGAATACAGACAGTGCATGACTATGGCTTGGACAAAGGACCGTAAGGGGAGATGACAAGTCCGATTCCCTAAGGAGGAAAAACGGACACAGCTAGGAGACTGGGCGTGTAGTTGTGTAGTGGGGAGAGGGGCTGAGTAAAAGAAACAGAGAGAAAGAAGGTAGGAAGAAGAGAAGGAAAGAAGGAAGGGAGGGAAACAGAGAGGGAGGGAAGGATGGTGAAAGGGAGAGGGAGGGGGAGGGAAGGAAGGGAAGAAAGGAAAAAACAAAGAATTAAAGAAAGAGAAGTCCAAAGGTCCCATTACTTCATTATTAATACATATCCTTTTGTATATATGGTGATGAAATGAAAAGTTACATGTTTATATAAGCTGTCCACTAGAAATAAGGCCATATAAGTGTATAGCAATGTATTTATACATACTTATGCTGATCTAAATTTACATTTATGAAGCTCTATACAGACACCCATTATATATCCATGTATATATACACTGCAGCTGTTGACATGAACATAGTCATAAAAAGTTGGTGCCAAGCTTTTTTCCAGATGACTAGTTAAGCACACCTGAAATATTCTGGGTGGAAAAAATGGAGAAAACACTGACACAAATAAGCAAAAAATGAAAACAGCTAGTGCCATGTGCTAATCTCTCATGGAAAACTCAACACTTGGAATATATTACATGCTTACATAAGTGATCTTAACTGGGATTTGCATTGGTCAGATCAAGCTATCTAATTCCTGGGCTACAAGTGTACCATGGTATTAAATGCCTCAAGAAATATTCATCTATGAAATACAGTTTTTACTCAAGAGATGGTAGTGAAACCGCTTTCTGTATACAAAGTCAAGACATTCTACGACCGTATGTATGTACCCTCATTAAAATGAAGCTAGTGGAACATAGTAGATGTCCAAAAAATATGTGTTAAATGAAGAATCTTTTACCTTGTTAATGCGGGGTTTTAAAAAAAGAAGTTAGAGCTGGAAGGGACACTACAGTTCAACTGTTCATTCTGTGGATAAGATGCCACCTTCAGAGAAGCCGCGTGACTCACTCAAGGGCACAGAGTACGCTGATGGCAGGGCCAAGACCAAGGTCAGGTCTCCTCATCCTCCCCCTGTGCTCTTCCCCCAACCCCACAGATATGTCTGGCATCGCTCGTGAATTTGGGAGTTTTATGTTAGTTTGAGAAGTCCAAAAACTTAAACACGCAAAGATAAATTAGGATGAAAATGAGTTGAGAAATAAATTGCAGAGTTTGGCTCATGGAAAAGTTTATTTCTTCAAGGATATTAAAAGGGTCTGGGCCAAATGGATCACAAAGCCTGAAATAGGATGCTCTAAAAAAAGAACAGTATCTTTTCCTGGCCCTCATGTACTAAATTTACATAGGGGGAAAACCCGGGGTGGCTGGGTTTCCTTGGAGGCCCGAGTCAGCTCAGGGAGCCAGGGGGGCTCAGCGCTTCCAGTTGAACTCGGTTCTGCACATCACACCTTCAGAAGGTCAGAGACATGATCTAGGAACAAACTTCACCAGCTGATAGTTGGGCTGGATGAAGGTGTGGGGAGACGTCTGGAAATGATTGCATCCAAACAAGAGATCGAACACACCAAGACGATTTTAGCTAGAGATGTCTCAGGGGACAGTCATGCTGATTCTGCCTTCCAAATCTCTCTCAACCCCACTGACTTCTCTCCATTCTTTTTCCACCACCGTCCTCACCCAGGCCACCAGCATCCCTTACCTGGATTCCGGCAACAGCTACCTAACCGCTCCCTTTCTTGCAGCACCCAACTCCCCCAGTCTCTTCTCCATGGTGCAGCCTGAGCCTTCTTTATAACATGCACATCCTACCATATACCACACCCCTCCCAGGGTGCATGGTGGCTCCTCACTGTGGATCGAAATCCATGCTCACCTGGTCATGATCCATCTCCCCCATCCAACCTCTCCCACTTCCACCTTGCTCTTCATGCTCTAAACCCACTTAGACTCTTACAGCATTACTGAAAGGCTTTTGCTTATGTAGGTTATATCTATTCATAGTTACTGTATTGTAAATTAAAACTAAGAAATTTTAAAACTCAAAAATACACAAGTGTGCATTCCATCAGCTATCAGAGTATGACGAATAACATCACCTGTCATGTGTCTACTAGAAAACACCACTAACTCCACTGTACTCTCAGGGGAGAATGAGAACAAAAAGGCAAAGGATGTCACAGTATGAAAATACTTCTGACTTTGAGGCCCCCTGAAAAAGTGTCCAGGAGCCCATAAGCCTCTGGACTACACCTAGAAGGGGGCCACTCTGAGCATACCAAACTTGTTTCCCATTCTCAATGTACCTTTCTAACAGTGTTGTGACATTTTGTGGGAACACTGAGTCTCCAGTTCCTGGGTGAGGTTCCTTTTTACTGGTCCCCAGCACTCTGTGCTGCCGTTAGCACAGGCCTGTTTGCATGAATGGAAGTTGCCTGTTTGCATATCTGACTCGCCTAGCAGACGGCCAGCACGCACCCGGGACAGTGCCCAGCACGTAGTCCCTACGGTGGTCACAGGTGGGATAATCTCACTCCGCGCAAGGATGCAAAGTGCTGTCAGGTGGCAGAGACGCATCTTCTCTAGGAGAACCCAAAGCGGGTCCAGTTTGGGTGGAAAAATTACGATTGCAGATTTCAAGAAGAACTTTCTTTAAACAATGGAGCTAAAACGGGGTGTCAGGGAACCTCAGGGAGGCAGCAGAGAGAGGGGATTCCTGCGCCTGGTAGGGACCGGGGCGGGGTGACCCCGGACGTCCCTTCCAAGTCTGACAGCCTGTGATTCTGTGAGGCTGAACCGAGGGCTTCTCCCAGACATCCCTCTTGCTTTACATTCCGGATGGATTTGTTTAGAGTTCCCAAGTTTGACTCTCATTTTTATTTTAAGCTGCTTTAAAAAATAAAAGTACAGTGCCATCTCGTTTTTCAACTTCACTTTCCTCTCTGATCCCTCTCCCTTGCTTTATTCTATCTCTGGCTTTTTCTTTTCAACCCTCTTTCTAAAAATACAGAGGATAGCGGAGGAGTTCTCACCGACGCTCAGTGAGGGGACCGATTCCGCTCCCTCTGATGCACGGGCGTGCTAGTGTCCCGCCCAGCGGCTGCCGCACGAGCTGACCTGCACAGGGGCACGGGCCGCTAGAGGTGGGGGTAGGGGTCTACATGTGAGTCTCCGTGTGCCCGGGAGGGGGGACGGAAGACTGAGAGGACAGTGTGGAGTCTCTGGCAGCCAAGTGACAAGGTGCGACGACAAGCATTTGGCAAAAGGTGTTCTCTTAATTTCTATAGGAAACAGAACGGCTGCTTTCCATAGAAAATGATGTCATACGAAGGCAAAGACATCACTGGTCCCACAGAAGGCCTGGGAGACACTCTGTGAGCAGGGAATGGTCCGATCACGGGTGGAGCCCACAACAGTGGCAAGTGTGACATGCTTCCCTCAAGTGTCTTGCAGGTAAGTGAATTCCCCAAAGGAAGACAGGTTACAGAAATTAAAAGAAATAGTTGCAACACATGTGAGAATGCCCTGGGTAGTCTCAGAAATAACTGAAGAAGAATCAAAGACTGGTGAAGCCTTGAAGCCCCCAAATATGTATATTGACTCTAATGTGACTTTGTTTTGTACCCCCAAACACCAGGTTTTTATCAGGTTTATGGCCTTGGACACTTCTTTAATATCTTAGTGTCTCAGTTTTCTCAAATGTAACATGAGAATAGCATACCTAGGGCAGCGCAGGTGCTCAAAAAATATTTGTCAAATAAATGCATGTGTACTGGCCTTACAGGATGATGTTAGTATCAAAGGAGATGGTGCATGGTAAAGATCATTGAAAATCATAAAACTCCACATACGGCGAAAGAGATGAGCTTTGCACGCTCCACTTGCCAAGGAGCTTCCTGGAGGCTGACTTACCTTCTGCTTCGCGAGGGCTCCAGTGTCCCGAGGGGCCACAGGGCATCGGGGAAGAGGCATTGAATGCATACTGCACCAGGATTCTCCCTTCCAGACAAAGGTCACATGCTGATCCCAATTCTCTAGGAGGCCAAGGAAAGAGGAGAAATGCACCGACTTAGGAACAGTTGAATGAGCAACTGATGGGATGAGGTCAAAGGCAACAGGGCAGAGGACACAACAAGTCCATGTTACCCCTTTGTTCCCTACACATGCCAAGGCTTCCAGAAAATGACAGTAAGTGAAATTCCTCCCCGGATGTCAACAAGGACCTTCTTTGGTCCTAAGTGGCTCTGTTCCGATGGTGCATACACTTCTCTGATTTGTAGCTATCCAGAATCAGCAGGCTAAACACTCAGACCTGCAATAATTTTAGTTTCATCAGGCACGGGAAAGCTCCACTGAGAATTTGCTGTGGGGTTATGAGAACATCTTTTGCCCCATTTTTTTCCCTAAAATTTACTTCTTTAACAATATTTACCAGGTACCCACTGTGTGCCAGGCACCATCCTGTGTCTCAGGCACTTGGTATGATGAAGGCATGGCTCCTTCATCTGAAAATGAGTGAGCTGGATTAAATGATGCCTAAAGAACCTTCCAGCCCTGACATTCCAGGGATGGGTGAGTCACTCCTCGATTTAACAGTCAAAAGCAGTTTCCTTACCATGCCATCTAATTCATTTTAGCAGCTTTCCAAGGGATGAGCCAATCCCTCAATGGGACCAGCCCCAGAATGGAATATTACGGTGGCTTCCCTACTGACTTGTGCCTTGAGTATCTGGATTCAATCTTCCTTTGGCCATAACAGCCTCTGGGATCCTACTTGTTCTCCAGATTTGGCATCTGGTTAGAAGGCAGTTGTGGGGAAGGGAGAGGGATGAGTCCTCTTCTCCTGTATTATTGCGAACCCAAAACTGCAAGTCTGATCAACCTCTGCAGAGGGACTGAAAAGTGAATCTTTGGAAGGTGCCAAATGGTGCCAATCCATTATTTCCAAAAATGCAATGGCCTTGCTGATACCTCTTTCATCATTCCTAGAGGCATCTCTGTGCTTTGGCTACCTGAAAGGACACAATGGAGAAGCTGTATATTCAGCATTAGGGCTCTCTCTTCACAGGGGCCCTCTTGATACCTCTGGGGTCATGGACAGATCATCCCAAGCCCCAACCTGAACAGGTCATGTCCCTGCTCTCTTTTGGAGAATCCAGCCCCTAATGCCCTGTGACGTGGCATTCAATGTGCTCGCAAACTCTTCCCCATCACCTTAGCAGCCTTGTTTCTCTCCACTGCAAGCTCTACCATGCTGTGTCCTGTTACCCACAGTCTCTTCCCCGGCCACTGTTTACACCTGCTATTGATCATCAATTCGAGGTTCACTTTGAACATCACTTCTCCTGTGAAGACTCGTTTGTATACAAGTGAGTTTCCCTCAATGGACGGTGAGGTCCTTGAGGACAAGGTTTATGTCCTGTGGCTCTCTTTTTCTCTCAGGGTCCAGCACGTAGCTGACTTTGTAGAATTGATCAGCACATGCATCGGAACGGATGGACATTCGGATGGATGGATGAATGAATGAATGCCAGTCACTCAGACACGTTCCTAACGTTCACGACTAACCTTGTCTAGACTTTCAAATCGCAGATTTTGCTTTCTCAGCCTTAGCACTGTAAATGTGAAACCACACGTAGGTAGAAATTTTGTAAGCACCCTAGTATTAAATGATAGGGAACCATTAAATAGCCCATGGTTAACCTGTTTAATGGACTGGCAAACGGCTATTACAAAAATATGTAGAAAGGTTATGCAATTTCATGGAAAATGTGAAAGTTATAATATTAAGTGAAAAAGTCACATTCAAAGCTTGGTCTATGGCAATATTTCAATGCTCAAATAATCTTATGGGACAAAATGTTATTGGCAGTAATTTCTGGGTGGTAGAACATAGGATGATTGATTTCACCCCCTCTTTTTTATTCTTCCTGATTTTCTAAATTTTCTACATATTTTTAATATAGATAAGTTACTCTTGAACTAGCAGTAATAATTATTATTATACAAATATACTTGTAGGCAGGAAATCAGAGGTGCAGCGAGAGACTCTCTCAGCAGCAATAATGACGGCAGAGCTCCGTTACTGTGACCACAGTCCACGCACGGCAGCTCTGAGTCACATGATGGCTTTATGGTGGCAATTATATTACAAATGTCCTGGGATGGATTCAGGAACCACACTGACCTTAATGACCAGTGAATCTTTCTTTCTATTTCCCTGTTTCCTTTAGATGTTTTGTTTCGGGTGACACATATAAAGCCACCAAAGCTTCACTGAGTTCTTGATACATGCCAGGTTCCCAATAAATACTCTGATGGATGAACAAATCATCATCCCGCTGACAGCAAATGTGTGGTGTCCTACACAGCCAGGCAGTCTGTGATATGTGTTTCCTGCCTCTGGCATTTATTTGATTTTCATGGGTACTTGTAAACACACACACACACACACACACACACACACACACTGAAATAACAGACATGCAGCACACCAATGCTGGGAGAGACAGCCTGGGTTCTGTAAGAGTCAAAGCTTAAAGCTCTAAGTAGGCATTTTCTACTATAGTAGCTACTAGCCCCATGTGGCTATATAAATTTAAATTTATAAAAATTAATTTTTAATTAATTAAAAATTAATTTTATTTATTTTTAATTAATAAAAATAATTTAAATTAGTTAAAATTAGACAAATGCTTAAATTTTGTTCTTCAGTCACACTAGCCAAATTGTGAGTGCTCGATAGCCGCAACTGGTATTTAATGGGTATCATTTTATACAGTGCACATAGACAACATTTCCATTATTGCAAATCCTACTGAACAAGGCTTCTCTAAAGCACCCACTGTATAGAATGAATTAAACTTTTCTCTTATGCAATTAGAGTGGTATTAAATAGTTATAAACCATCTTTGGGAGAAATGAGAAAATAGTTACTCAAATCATTTTCTGTGTTCTGAAATTTGGAAGAGAAACCTTGATTGAGAAAGGTTAGAACCTCTCTGGATGGCAGATTAGACAATTGAAGCCAAAGAGGCAGGGGCAATGGGTGAAGTCACGAAGACCTCAGACCCAGGTCTCTCGGTTTCCAGTCCGGTACTCTTTCCAATGTATCACAGCCGATGGTTCAGATAACTGAAACCATCCAGTCAACACATGTTTGCAAGACAGATAAAAATAAAGGAGTTAGAGAAACCAGGGGTGGCCTTGAATTATTTATTCAGTTGCCCAAGTGTGAGGACACAGGCTGTGGGAGGATCTGAATATGTTTTTTTAAGGGAAACCCTTGTATTCTCTTAGACCACAGATGTGAGAACAGCAGGAGGACACGAGGATGGCCAGGGGCGAGTGGTTGGCATTGATGGATGTAGTGGAAAACAACAGAGGCTTTTGCAGGGAAAGGGAATTTTCAAGTAGCTAAACAGCTCTGGGAAGCATTGCACAAGATGGGAGCTAGCAATACTGCTAGCATAGAGTGCGTGTGCCTGGCCTATCCAGATGTCATCCTGTGGACTTCTTCATAAAAGCAAGGTGATGTGGGCATGATTAGCACATTTTTATGGAGAAGACTCAGAGGACTGGAGAGGCGAGATGGCTTGCCCAAGGTCCCATCGACTGGGAATGATGAAGCTGAGGATGGAAAATGGATGACCTGACATCAAAGCTTGTACACTTTGTACTAAGCCAATTTGCCTGAGTATAAACTCCATGTGTGGGGGAGAGTGATATACATAAAACGTAGTTCCATGTCTTTACATAATTTATTAAACTTGCGGACCAACTTCCTTTAGCCATAGAGTATGGTGTACATAGTTGTTAACCCTAATTAGATATGTTTCGAAAATGTCAGTTTTAATTTAACATATGATAACTACGTTATGAAATCGCAGACGGAACAGAATAGCTATTGTACGAGCCTCAAGAACCAACTGACTATAGGTTATTAAAAACATATTGATTGAAGCTGAGGGCACTCTGTAACAGAGACATATCTCATTACACAACAATTAACCCTCCAATAGGTTTCCAACAATCAGATGTTATTTATTTAATGGACAATAACTGCTTTATGAAGTACAAATTGAATTCATACACAGGAAGCTTCATTTACAAAACTTCCATTTTTAAGTGGAATTGAGGCCAAAGGCTTGACCAAAAGTCTGATACTTCTCAGCACCACAGAAAAAATAAATAAATCTATGGGCTGCTGGAAAGCCTGCTCTGAAGTGTCACATGAGGTTTCCCAAACCCAGCTCTGAGCTCCCAGGGAGGGCAGCTGGGGCAGGGAAAGGGGGTTTCTACGAGAGCCCAGGGAGTACATTTCCTTCCCTGGCAATCACATTTGTTTAGCTGCCTAAGGAAGGTTCTAGATTCAGGGGCTGATGGTAATGTAGTGAAAAATTAGAGCTCACATTTTATGTGGTACCATGGTCTAATTTTTTTTTTCAAAAAAATTATTTTATTTTTAATTGGCATATAATAATTATCTATATATCTATATATGAGGTACAAGGTGATGTTTTTATATATGTTTAAATAAATTAGATGATTAGATCAGGCTAATTAACAGATTCATCACTTCTCATGCTTATTTTTTTGTGGTGAAAACATTTAAAATCTACTCTTTTAGCAGCTTTGAAATATACAATGCATTATTATTTATCATAGTCACCATTCTATGCAATAGATCACTACAGCGTATTCCTCCTGTCTAACTGAAATTTATACCCTTTGATCAACATCTTCCCTTTTCCCATCCACCCCCCTTCCCCAGCCTCTGGTAGTTATCAATGTGCTGTCTAGTTCTGTGAGTTCAACTTGCTTAGATTCCACAAATAAGTGAGATCCTGAGGTATTTGTCTTTCTGTGCCTGGCTTATTTCACTTAACATAATGTCTTCCAGGTTCCTCTGTGTTGTCAAAACTGACAGGATTCCCCCCCTTTTTAAAGGCTGAATAGTATTCCATTTTTTATATACATAGGCTCCTTGACACGATGGAGTTATGTTCCAATAAACCCATTGTAAGAGGAAAATATCATAAGTCAAACGTATACCGAAAGCTATACTGAATGTGTATTGCTTTCTCACTATCGTAAAGTCAAAAAGTCGTAAGTCAAACCATCATACGTTGGGGACCATCTGTGTACCACATTTTCTTTATCCATGTATCTGATGATGGATGTCTAGGCTGCTTCCACACCTCAGCTATTGTAAATAATGCTGCCACGGAGATGGGAGTGAGTGCAGATCCCCCTTTGGCATACTGATTTCAGTTTCTTCAGATATATACCCACAAGTGGGAGGGCTGGATTGTATGGTAATTCTATTTGTAGTTTTCTGAGAAACCTCCATACTGTTTTCCATAATGGCTCTATTAATTTACATTCTCAGCAACAGTGTACAAAGGTTTCTTTCCTTTTCTCCACACCCTTGGCGACCTTTGTCTTTTGAATTTTTGGCAATGGCCATTCTAACAGGGGTTAGGATGGCACTTTCTAGGGACTCTTGGTCAACTCTCTCAGCCCCGTCCAGCCCCCACTCTCTCCCTAACTGGCAAGTGAGGAAGATGGTCTCCTTTTTTACAAGGTTACCGGAAAGATTAAATGAGACTATATATAAAGCATTTAGTACAGAACCTAGCATTAGTAAGCACTTAATAAACAGCAGCAACCACAATGGAGCAATGCTAATTATGTTTAGCATAGTTATTTTCACCATTTTTAATGTCATATTACCATTACTGAATGAAATACCCCTAAGGACTAGGGGCTGGAGGTGATACACTAATTTTCCCTGAATCACGGCAAAGTTCCCAAATAGATGTAAACATCTTGATGGGGTTTCATGACCCTTTGGAATCTGGTTCCCTTATAGCCTGAGCTCTGCAAGGAGCCTCCACGCTAGAGGTACCATGGGGACCGTGTGGTTCAGGTCTCCACCTTCAGGCCACTGTGGCGTCATTAAACTCAGCATTCAGGAAAGAAGGATAAGACTCAGAGAGGAAAAGTGATTTGCCCAATGTCGTATAGTTAATTAGCGACAGACAAGGGAGCAGAACAGAGGCCTCTTGTACCTCAGTTTATCATTCCCTGGTCTTCTGAAAGTTCTACCTTTATTCTACAAAGGAATATTTGGCACAAAGATTGTGATTGTATATTGTAGACATGTATATGTAACCACATGAATGTGGGCACATATACACATGTATATAATATGCACATATATAGCTTCATATATAATATGAATTATATATAATATTAAAGTTATTGCCCATTAACCAGAGGCAATGTCAACGCCTGAGTTCATGAAGACAAAACCAGTACCTCCATCCAAGAGGAGGCTTCTAACAATAGAGGTTTCCAAGTCTCTAATAACAAAGTGAATATAAACAGCCATTCACTTAAAAATATGTAGTATTACTTATTCATTTCTATTAGCAATCATTCATTTAGTGCCTGACCCCAAATTTACAACGTGCCTCTCTGGACAAGTCGCTGTGCCAGGTGGTGGGGGTACCCTTTGAACAAGAACAAGAAACACAGCAAAACCCCTCTCCAAGGCTGCTTCCCTTCCAAGTTTCCCTCTTCTTGGCAGCAGAGAGAGAGGGAGGGATCAACACTCCACAGGACACACACTCACCTTTCAAAGAAGTGGCCATCGATGGGTGGAAACCATTCCAGCATCACGGAGTCTGCGGTGTGGCCCACGACCTGGGGGGCGAGCGCGACAGGCGCCGGCTTCCTGGAGGGCTGCCAGCTCCGGTACACCAGGTCCAGGTAGCAGTGCATTCTGGCGACTTGATTGGGCGTGAAGGAGTCGGTGCAGTCGTCATCTGCAAGCAGGCAGAGGAAGAGAGAATCACCGAGCCGCACCGGCGGGCATGCGAGAGACGTGTGACGTCTCCTGGCGGCCGGAGAGCCGGCACCCCGCTCCTTCCTTGCCAACTCGGGGCTGGCCTCTCCCCGTGCTCAAGAGTTAATGGTCTGTGAACAAATTAGTGTAGTCATCACTTCTGGAGACAGGTGAGAGGAAACAGGAGGAAGGGGAGGGAATGGAACTGAAAAAAAATATGCCTGAGACAGGGGAGAAAGCAGCCCAGAGGCCAAGGCAGAGGACATGGGCAAGACAAGATGCTGCTTCTCCTGGGCCCCAAATCCACAGGCCACTAAGTCAACAATTCCTTGCTCCTTCCCTCCCTCTCCCCTCCTTCAGTGTCTACCATTCACTTGTTTCTACACTCATTCAGTTTTGTACTTGCTAGTTCCAACTTATACCTTCACATTCGTTCGTCCACTCGTTCCATAGTTCTGGGTTCACGGACGCAGTTACACTGCACTTCAGACACGCCTTCCGAGTGTCTACCACACCTCTGCTCTGTGCCAAGGGGCACGGAGAGGTGAAACTTCAAAAGTTCCCGCCCTTGAAGACCTACCGGCCTAGTTATGGAGTCAAGGCCAGTTTACCGTGTGAGTCAAGGTTGTTAAAAGGCTGCTAAGGTCTGTGACGGCAGCCCCCAGTGAAGGGAGGGAGACACATGGAGGAGAAGGGGTGTGTGTGGGGGGGGAACCAGAAAGGCTTCTGAAGAAGGAGGTGCTGAGGTCAACCAGATTGTACGGGTGGGACTGGGAAAGACAGCTGGGGGACTGCAGGAGAGGGAGCTGCCTGACTACAGAGTGCACGGCCAGGCAGTCGCAGGCTAGTGTGCGCGCTGGAAACATGAGCAATGACATCTCCCTCACGGTGTTGTCACTGGGACGTTTATTGCATGCTTAGCGTGAGCCAGCTGCGCTTTAGACGCATTTGACCTTTCCCTCCCCACTGTTTTCGGAGTACATACTATTATTTTTCTCCATCTTACAGAGGAGGAAACTGAGGCCGAGAGAAAGCAAGCAACTTTTCCAAAATCCTGGAGCTAGGGATACATCTGGGATTCGAACCCAGGCAGCCCCAACTCTAAGGCCATTCTCGATATGAGAGCTTCTTCCAGAGCATAAATGAGACCCTGTCTAGATATAATACCCTGCAGGTATCTTTGGGTCTCATGACCCTCAATCGTGCTCTTTCTTTTTCGGGTTGTGGACTGAAAGGGGTGACCCAAGATCTGGCTCCCAGAAGAAACTTGCCTCTTATATCTTCCTCCAATAGTTTTTTTCAGCTGCCCCAGGGGCAGGGCGAGGCACTGTTTTGGCTTGGTTTCCAAAAACACCGCTTCCCAGAGGTGTCTGCCTGGTCAGGGTTTCCACAGCTGGACCCCAGACAGAGGAGCATGGGACTCGCCAGATCTTAAAATAAACCCGCTACTGAGAATCCTGCAGCATACACTCGCTTCTCCTTATCAAACAAACAGAAAATAAGTTTGGGCAGGTGCTGGGCCATTGGACATGACCTTGAGAATCCAGCTTGGGGAAGGGACGGGGTATGAGCAAAGTTATACACAGAAGCTGCCTTGGATCCCCTTGTAGTTTTTGACAATCTCCTTTAAAGCACCCGAGGGAAGTCTTTAATACATCTGGAGGAAGCAGAAGAGCCTGATGTCCCTTAGCAAGTACTGCAAAAGAGTGACTAATTGAGTAAATCTCTCTCAAACCCAGATGTCACCATGTAACGCCTGGACACCAAACATTCTGTGGCTCCCCAATGCCTGGAGTCCAAACATGTCAGTCTGAGAAAGGCCAGATAATTGGACATTTTTTTTCTATATTGCTATGTATGAGCTTTGCATTTCATCCTGAAAGCCTCAGAAAAGCTACTGACTAGGTTAGATGCAGGAGAAGGGCATGACGGCTAAGGAAAGAAGTATGGCCATATGGTTAGATTAGTGGACGCAGAATCTGGAGTCAAATAGGCAAGTCATTCCATGCCCTCAGGGCCTCAGTTTCTCCATCTGTGAAATGGAGACAATGAAGATAACAAGAATGCTCATCTTACAACACAGTGGAGGTGAAGGGGTGTGGAGCACTAAGAACAATGTCTGCTCCATGATAAATGCTAATAAATGCTCACTGCTTCGTCACTGGGAATAGCATGTAAGTTCGTGTGCATGTGGAGGCTTTTATGTGTTTGTTTGAGTGTTGGAAAACTAGGAGCAGGGGGAAAAAACCCAGATTGTAAAATACACATTCTCTTTGATCTAGCAGTAACAAACTTATAAATGAAAAAGGTATATTCTCTTGGACAAACATGGAGAAAATGCATGTACAAGGATGTTTCTGGAAGCATCATTTGTAACAGGAAAAAATATTAGAAATAACAGATCTGTCCATTAATAGAGAAATGGCTGTGTACTTTAAGGCACAAGCATAGAATAGACTATTAATCAGGCATGATCAAAAAAATGAAATAACTTTAAGACTCAGTTCCCTCAGGTATAAATTGGGGACATCTAAATAAATTCCAATCCTTGGAGTTGTGAAGATTCAACTTCACATGTATGTGCGGGGGCACATACAACCCTTATTAAGATGAATGTGAATGAAAAACGGTAGTTTTTTCCCCCTCTATAACCTTCTACTTACCCCCACCCCCAGTATATTTTCCTTTTATAACTTGAAAATGAGCTATTTCCATGCTTGTCAATTAAAAATGTTTTAAAAAATGGCTAAGTGATAGAACCTAGTAGGGGAACAGGAATGTATTTGAAATTAAGGTTGAAGTTGGAAATGTCGGTCTCAGGGTACATTACTTAGATACTTAGCTGTCAGAAGCTTGGGTAAGGTACCAAAGGGTGTTCATTTATCACAAAAGCTCTGTCTCAGGTAGCTAATGCATAGGGTCAGCCCCACTTGGATTACTGTATACCTCCCCATTTCGGTACCTTGTTCTTCTGTCCCTATCTTGTCCCTAAGCAGAAAGAACTTTGGGGACTTCGGCACCTGGGGAGCCTGCCTAATCCCCCTGTGCTGTTGATACAGCGCCCTGGGCTTGCTAACTAAACCTTGTTCTCAAGAACAAATTTCCACCTGCAGCTTCCATCTGAAGGCCCCACTGCATGGAGGTTCAGGGCAGGTTCAGGGCATGGGCTCAGGCCACCACTCCAGCTAGGACCTTAGACAACACACTGACCTCTGACAGCCTCATTTTCACCCCTGTAAAATGAGGAATAGAGATGTTACCTGACTCATGAAGCTGATGAAAGCATTTAACAAGCTAACCTCTGTCTAGGACATGGATAACTAAGTTGCCTTTTGTAAAAGTCCCTTTTTGTTGTTTTTCTTTTAAAACATTGATAATGATAATAATGGTCATCATAGTAAATGATTATGAGAGTTACAGACAGTCACTTTAGAACATCTGGAATCTGCCAAAAAATGTTACAAAGATATAAACATAATCTTAAACTCATTACCTATAGATAATACAGTTAATGTCTAATAAATATGTCTCTATATATCATGTATGTATGTGTACATGGATGTGAACATCTACAGTGAATTTTTGTGATTCTCACCATCATATACATATATAAAGGTCTGTGACTTTTTTCACACTAAAGAGCTAACAAGTAATCCTACTAATTGTTATTTATCGAGCACTAATTATGGTACCAAGGACAGTTCTAAGTCCTTTGCTTGTACAACAGCACCTGCTATCACACAAGGTAAGTGTGCTTGTCCTCCATGGTACCGGTGAAGTCACTGAGGCTCAGAGAGGAGAAGCAGCTTGTCAAAGGCGGGGACACAGAGAATTAAGATTCGGTCCCCTCACTCCATATTTTGTGCTCTGAAGCACTCCGGGACTCTGCTTCTCTTCATGCCCCTCAACCGTCATCTTTGTCACCTTTAGCAGCCCTGGAACATGTTAGCACATGGATGCTTGTGATTTACTTCAGCAATCCATTCGCTTTGGGCTCATATGTTGGTTTCAATTTTTCACATATATTTTTCTTCTATGCCCCACATATAGTAAATGCCTAATAAATACTTGGAGACTGAATATTGTTGAGAGCATACTTATGTCTATATCTTTAAATACATCAATTGATTTATTTGCTTTGGAAATAGTCCTTAGAGGTGGGATTGCTGGGTCAAAGCCTGTGTGTGTATTAAGAGGCCCTGACATGCAGAAAGATGGTAACAAGGTACTTGCTTCTGTGGGCTGGAAAGAGCCTGTTTTCCTACACTCTGGGGATGGGAGGGCCCCCTTCCAGGAACTCCTGTGACCTATTATTTTCAGGACGTGGATTCAGAGTTGCAGTTCTTCTGTCTGCTGAGGGCTTATCCAAGAACTTAACATAAGCACCCTCCCTGTGCTCTGTCCATCTGCTGAACGAGGCTTGTCCCCATCACCTGCCTGGTGCCTGCTTGATCCAAGCACTCGGGACCCTCTCAACCTTCCCTGAGATGGGAAACTGAGGCAGACAATTATTGGTTAATAACCCACGCTCTGCCGTCAGAGAGACTCGGGTTTAAGTTTCACCTTTGCTTTGTTTTATCTTTGTGACCCCGGGCAAGTCACTTCAGCTACCCGAATCACACTTTCTGGATCTGCAATACCTTGTGTGATGAGAGTGGCAATTCACCTCCTTGGGTTCTTTTGAGGATTCAAGGAGACAAGCCTACGAAGAGTCCCAGACAGTGTCTGGCATTCCATAGGTACTCAGGAATGACTGTAGGCTTGAGCTGACCAATAGGGGAGGCACCAGCCACATGTGGCTATTTCAATATAAATTAAGTAAAATCATTTAAGATGGATAACTGAGCTGTACTTGTCATATTTCAAGCGCTCAAGTGCCACAGATGGCTAGTGGCTGCCATCCTGGACCGCACAGACACACTCCGCGTCCATCTCTGCGGAAAGTCCTGTTCGGGCAAGCGCCGCACTAAGACCCTTCGCCCTCCTGGTGGCCAGGGAGGAGGACGAAGCACCCAGGAAGGAAACGCCACTGGAAGAAGTTGACCCTGCAGGGTCGGCACCCTCTCGTCTCTGCTGAGGGCGCCCCAAGCACTGCTCTCCCCAGCCCTGAGAACCCAACCCTGCTCTGCATGTTGAATTTCATCCAGCTGCTTTTGTCACCTCATCTATCAGAAATCCTAAGGAAAACAAACATTTCAAAGCTCGTGGTCGCCTTGAATGTGCTTTTGCGGGTGTAAGTTTGTTATCGTAGCTCAGTGAATTAGTTCTGCTGTTAATGGGTCACTGAGCTGAGGGGTTCCTTTAAAAAAACAACAGTAAATCAATCACCCTTTAGATCTGGACAAAGGGGAAAAGAAAAAAAAAAGATTTAGTTTATGGGGGTCTAGTAGCTAGTGGCAGCTCCTAGGCCCCTAAGAGGCCGGCAAACTTCCAAACTTATGTTACTGTTTATTTTCCATGCGCATGGAGCTGGCCAAGGAAAGGTGCTGCAGAAATGGAGCGTAAGCACGCTGGGGGGGGGGGGGGCAGCGCGCCGGATGTGGGGTGTTAGTGTGGCTGGGAAGGGGAGCCCAGTGGGAATCTGCTTTTGAGGAAATACCCAGCACCCTGGCCTTTTTTTTTTTTTTTTTTTTAAAGAGACCCAAACCTAACGACTCTTTATATGGTACCATAGTTGAGTTATTGATATTTCAAGAGATCTCAGATTCGGGCTGTTATGAACCTGATTCTGGAGGGGCCCCCAGAGGTCACCAGCCCAAATAGGAGAGCAGAGGGAGCCATTCGGGGGCATAGACTCCTTTGGGTTCCAGCAGCAAAATCCTCTCTTCAAATGCAATGAGGCGAAATGTAGCAGGAATGCAGAACAGTCTGAAGGGGGGTTTCCCTGGTTGGAACAGGAACGGGGGCTACAGCTGCACTCACAGCCACCGGGACAGCCCCCTGGGGCATCTCTGTGGAACAGAGTGTAGAAACCACCCAGGTTGCTCAATTTTCCTACTCAGCCACCAGCTAGGTCTCTTTTGAAGAGTGTCACAAGAGTAGAAGAGAAAAAAAAAAAAAAACTTGGAGTCAGATGTGTGACCTGGGACAAATGACTTCAGTGAGTCTCAGTATTGTCATCTGTAAAATGGGGATAGCTCCTACCCCATAGCTTTGTTGTGAGAATTAAACAAGATGGAACATGTTAAAATCCATTATGGACAATAAATTGTAAAAATATTGTTATTGATAAGAATCGATTTTATATACCTACTATAAGAAAATCATGCATTTTCCTTCCTCTCTGCCTCTACCGCTCCTTTCCTTTCTTCCTTCTTTCCTAGCAAGCATTTATTAAGCACTGGCCCTTGTGCCAGCTCCTGGGAATATAGTGATTATTAGATGCTATCTCTGCTTTGACAGAATTTGCATGTTCTAGTGGGGAGAGAGACACCAAATTGAGCATTATAGAATTTGATGCTGGGCTGCCATGTGCAATTTTGAGGATTATGCCTTATACAAAAACTTTTGGCTGCAGGAGCCAGTGGTGAGGGCTGTGACAGTCCCGAGGAAGGGGTGTCTTATTCTAATTTGCCAAAGGTGTTAAAAGGGCTCACAGTAGGCTTGATGTATCATGTGCTTAATGGAAGCACAGGGCATCTCACACTGCCCTTAACACTGTTACTGATGGTATACAAAAGGGCTGTGATAAGATACATGCAGTTAGGGGAAGAAAACATACCTGATCTCATATAATAATTTTGTGTTTGCAAAATTAAAAGCATTCTTTTTGTTTTTGCAAAAAAAAAAAAAAAACAGTAAGACAGCATGAAAGCTTTATGTTTATCTAAAGGAGACATATGTTAAATAAAAAAGGTTCAACAACCACTAGCTTAGAAAAATACAGCTGCAAAATTAGGAGGGATCTTGAAGACCAAATGCAAAGATTCCGTTTTCTTGAGAAAAGTGAGACCCAGAAAGAAGATGACCCAAAGGCATCAGGTGGCTGTATGGCAGAGGTAGCCCTTGCACCTGAGTTTCCTGGATTTGGGTCCTGGTCATCTCCCTAAAGAGTGTCTTTTTGAAGAACTTTAAGATGCAACATCTTTCTTTAACCCCTGAGGTGCTAACAGAAGGAATATTATTCCAATTGTTTGGAAGGAAATATCCCTCAGTCTTGGAAAAGTTAAGTAGCTTGTTCGAAGCTACCCCAAGCCAGGACTGGAGCCCATGCCTGGCATCCAGTCCTAGGCACCCTGCACAGCGTAGGGCCCTACCTGCATAGCTCATGAAGTTGTTGTAAGGAGTGTTGAAGAAACTGTGAAAACCACAGGTGTCGTTCCCTGGCCCTGGGTCACCGCAGAACTTGTGTTTGGGGGCTGGGTTGGTGTCATTGCAAAGGTCTCCTGTCTCGAAGGAGGGCTCTGTCTCCATGCAGGGGTCGCTGCAGGACTGGATTTCAGAGATGCCTCGGAAGATGTGATAGAGGCCCAGGCTGTGCCCGATCTCATGGATCATGGTGTGGGTGTGCCCAGGAATGCCGTAGAAAGATGGGTTCAAGACAATGCCACCTGCAAGGGAAAACCAGAGCATTAGGCAAGATGTGCACTCTGCTTCCTGGTGCAAGATCCCCCAAATCCATCAAGGATAAAGGGATGTTGCCCACAATAACCACAGTGTTCTCCACCCTATGACTCCACTGCTCCGAGACCTGTTACACCCTGTGACATGAATCATGACTTATCCAGAGCAGGATGGAGTCTCAAAAGCCATTTTGTGCAATCCCTTCATTCTTCAGATAAAGACACCAGTGCCTAACAAGGTGAAGTAACTTACCCAAGGTGATTTCAAGGAGAGCAACGATTAGAGTTCAGAGGCTCTGATTTCTAGGCTGATAAACCTTTATGCTGCAACCTTTTCCTTAGAAAGTAGGCCATTCTATGGTTCACAAATATTCTACATGCTCTTTTCGAAATGAAGCCCTCAGACTCAGACACCTTGATTCTGGTTGTCATTTTTCCTTCACTAACTCTGACATTGAGCAAGTCAATTACCACCTCTGAATCCCATTTCTTCATTTCTGATACTCTAAGAGCATGAACGCTCATGAAGGCCAGTACCACATTTTGCTCACCATTGTAACAGCTATCATGCTAGCTAATGTTTCTGAGGCATTTATTATGTATCCTCTGGTCCTGTGCTCAGTATTTTGTGTGCATCATTTCACTTAATCATCCCAAAATTCAGTGAGAGAGGAATTGATTCACAGAGAGGTGAAGTAACTGGCCCATGATCAAGAGGAAGTGTAGAAGCTAGAATTTGAACCCAAGATCCTTGGGTTCCAAAGCCCAGGCTCTTAATCTCTGTTACACTGTCAATGCCTATCACAGGGCCTGGAATATAATATCTCATTAAATGTGTGTTGAGTATTTGCTGAATGCTGACTCACCTAAAGAAGATTGTGAGATGGAACTAATCCCATGAAGGGCCTGGAATAGCACCTGGCAGATATCAAGTGCTTCACCGGCTGGGTACCAACTCGGGGACTCACAGCACAAGCATCACCTGGGAACTTAGTAGAAATGTAGAATTGCAGGCCCTACCCCAGACCCACAGAATCATAATCTGTGTTTTAAAGGAGTCTTAGATGACTTGTTGGTGAGTTCTACTTTGAGAAGCAACAGTCTACACCACGTGTCCCAGAAGATCGAGCATTGCTTAGCTTGGGGAGATATTATTAATAGATGGACTAGAACTCAGCATAATCAATGGATAGTATTTTTTCTGTGTTCATTTTAGGCATTGAAGAAATCCATACAGGACAGCAGAGAGATGTTTCAACTTTAAAATCCAAACATGTTTAAGGGGAGGTTAAAATTCAGGTCTGAAAACCTTGAAAATAGGGATTTAAGTGCAGGAGGTAGAACCTTGTTGATTTGAACTGGAGAGCCTGGCGTAGGCATGGGGGGAATTTTATCTCAGACTGAACCACTAGGATGGTGAGGCTGCTCAGTCATTGGGCTCGAGTCTTTTGCAGAGGCCTCTGGTCTCAAAGGAGGGCTCTGTCTCCAGGCAGGGGTCACGGCAGGACTGGATTTCTGAGATGCAATTCCTGGATTTCTGAGCAATTCTGAATTGCTCAGAGCCTACTAATACAAAGATAAAGATGTACGAGAGGGGGTGTGGGTGTGCATGTGCACGTGGGTGTGAGAAGGGGCAGGCAGAGGCAGGGAGGAAGAGAAATTGAGACAGGAAATCTTTCTCAATTATTTTCTGTCAATCATAATATGAAACATAATCCCCTTCCCACCCAAGGCTTTTTCCAGGGATCATGGCGTAACAGCACAACAAGAGGATAAAAAAAAATATGGTTCTAATAAATTGGGTTTGATTGGGGCTACTGCGGAGGAATCGCTTGTGGTCAACATCTCTCAGGATGAGGAGGGGCAGGCTGGGGTCGGGCTGGAACATCGCTGCAATCTTTGTTCTGAGTTTGCCTTGTGATCTTGGGAAACTGACTCCGCGTCTCTGGTGAGCTCTCACATCAGCAGCCACAGTGATGCCAATGTTTCTCTGTCTCTCCAGGCAGCTGCGACACGGAGGTACCAGGGGGCAGGACCATTCCAGGAATGACGATAGCACTGCAGACTTAATGTCCTGGCCGGTCCTGTCTGTTGTGCCTCACCCACTCCCAGCTCACCCCTCTCCGCAGAGTGACAGCACTGGGCCCCAGTCCTGTTTCATTGCTTCTCTTAAAAGGTGAAATAACTGGAGCCTGACATCATCCTGAAACACTATAACATGCTATGGATTTATAGCCTCCCATACTCCTGGCCCCGAGCCAGTCTCTGAAATTTATGGAATTATCAGGAGTATTTTTCTCTAACTTTAGAAGCCTGCTGTTCAACCCTTCTCAGACTCGGATCATGGCCCTTTGGGCTGCTTTTCCAATAAATGGGGCAGAATTTCAGAGTTGAGAAGGATCCTTGGAGGCCATCTAGTCTAACCTGATTATCTAAAATTGGAGGACATTGAGACCTGGGGAAGGAAAAGAGACTTGCCTAAGGCTACACCGCTAAGCAAAGTCACAGCTGAGAACAACCACATAGTTTGGCTCTGGTCTGACATGATTTCCACACATGTAATAGGCATGTGATATAAGCTGATCCTCTTCAAGTTTGCCTAAGCTGCACACTCTCTTCTGCCCAACCCCTGTCTATGTCTGTCTGTCTAACTATCGGCCCAGCCATCATCTATCCCAGAATTTCTTAACCTCATCATTATCAACATTTTAGACTGCGTAGTGTTTTGTTGTGGACAATTGAAAGTGGCATCGCTGGCTTCTACCCACTAGATGCCAGTAGCATTCTCCCATTTGTAGCAACCAAAAATGTCTCCAGACCATGCCAAATGTTTTCTAGAGGATAAAATCTCCCCCAGCTGAGAATAACTAGATATTTATCTTTATATCTGTCACTATTTACATAACCATACGCATGCATACACACACACAATTGGTTTCAGTCTCTTAAAACAATTGAAAAATGAGAGTTGTCTGGAGGGAACTAAGTTTATGGTGTGATTCGGTATAACTTCCATCATTTGAAGTTGTAGAATCTCTCAGTTCCAAGATAGAGTAGACTTGGAACAGCCACTGGACTGTGGGTGACCAGGTTGGCCTGAGGATCCGTCCAGCATGGTCACTCCGCTGAGCCCTCACAGTCTCAGAGGAAGATGTTCATCAAGTCATTATTGTATTCACCGTTCTAAATAACAGGAACATTCTACCAAGGGGAAAATGGTTAAATAAATTGTAGTGCCCTTGCTCAATGGAATATTATGTGGCTATTAAAAATCTTGTCTTTGGAGAGGTGGACATAATCCATAGTCTAAAATCTCTTGTGATTTTTAAATGAAAAAAAATGGGTGGGAAGTGAGGATAAGACTTCTGTAACATAGAAGAATGCAGATAGCATGATATTAGTTGAAAAAAGAACCAAGCATTGCATCTGTGCTATGATTTCAAATATGTATAAGTTTAAAATAATGCATGTCTGCATGTAGATGAGCATTGGAAAAGGGCAGAGAAAAATCAAAGTTAAGGAACTACAATGTTTGCTTACAGGGTCTGGTTCAGAAACTGTTGTCATATCTAACTTTTGGTGATTGGTTTATATAGATTTATGTCTTGTTTATGGATGTGCATCGTTTGAATGTAAGAAGAGTTCCTGGTGAAGTTGGTGGTGGAACACAGAAGAACAAATTCTTACAAACTCACTTTCTATTGCCTCTTTGGTATCTTTCAAGCCAACTCATGACTGGCTATGCTAGTAAAATGTGGTTACCGGGCTGAGAAGACATTTGCACGAACTAGGACACAGAGGGTATAGGAGAAAGCAACCAATGAACACAGTTGGAAACGTGAATTCCAATTGTAGCTCTGCACTAACTTGTGTGTGATCTTGGATAAGCCCCATACCCTCCTTGGGTCTCAGTTTCCCCATTGGTAAAATGAGACTAATAATATTATTTCCTTCAGATCATTGCTTGGTGGTCAGAATGAGATAATGACTATGACAGAGTTTTGTTGTTTTTTTTTTAATTAAAAAGTATTAAGTAAATGGGTTGTTCACCATCACCACCACCACCATGATCATAATAATGATCATCATTACTACAAAATTTATGACTGTCTTACTCCAATTTCCTCCTGAAAGAGTTTCTAAGACTCACCTAAGTGCATTAGGGCCTCCTTGTCCCATGGCCAAGTTGCTACTCCTGCCAACTCCTCCTCCGAGGAGTTTGCAAAGAAAATATTGAGATGTGTTGATCCATCCAGTCTAAGAATGTTCTTCAGCTCGTTAACATCCAAGTAGGCTCTGAAACAGAAAAAACACCTTGACTGTTATCATGTCCCACAAAGGTGCTATTCAAATAACAGGCACTCTCCAAATAATTAAGAGCTACTCTGTGTGCCAGCCACTTTGCTAAGCACTTTATAAACATCACCTTATTGAATTCCTTCAATAATATTATAATATTCTCAGATAAGAAAATTAAGTCCTCGTGGGTTTAAAAGACTTGCCAAGGTTGCTAGGCTTACAAATAGCAGAATTCAGTTTCAAACCTAGATTTACCTATAGACAACATTTGCTCCCCTAAGGACTCTGTTACAGTGACTGAGGACAGGGCCACATAGCGGGAGTGGGCTTGGCTTCTTCCCTCCTTCACTCATTTACCGTGGACCTTGGACCACCTATCTTGCAAACACAGAGCTGCATGAGAAAGCCTGTTTTGCATCTCTACATTAGCCTTGCAAGGAGGCATTATTACTCTGCTCTCGAAATGAGCAACATGTGTTCCAAAGTTATTAAATAGATTTCCCGAAGTTATGGAAATGTTGTTCAAGGCTAATACTGGCTAGCTTGGAAACTTATCCTATTTTCATTGAGGCATCATCTTAACTCCAATAGATGATTCTGCATATTGTAAGCCTTTATTTATTTACATGTAAATAAACTAGGGAGGGATATTGTATTTGGGGTTGCTGCCATTGTAGACTGACATAACTGGAAAGTAAATTAACTCCCCACTGTACAATCATCAGCTCTTTAATACATGGGACAAACATATGTTGGAGGGAGAGATAGATAGGTAGATAGATAGACACAAAGAGAGAGAGGGGGGAGAGAGAGAGAGAGAGAGAGAGAGAGAGAGAGAGAGAGAGAGAGAGAGAGAGAGAGTCTTTATAAAGAGACTGGTATACCCTAGGTACTCAAGAAATAAGAACTCTTCTCTTAAGGAGTGTGTCTCTCATCAGGACAAAAACCTGAACATAAGGAACCACCTTCTGCTTTGGATCATTCACAGGGATATTATTCAGTGGCTTGTTTTTCTAAGCAGAGAGAGGCATCTTGCTCCCCTCTCATGCTTCCTTCAGCCCCCATTTGTCTGCCACTATGCATTTTGGGAATCCTGTCGGTAGCTCACAGTCATTCTTGAGTAAGGTTGGAAATGAAGCAATGAATCAATGAATAAAAACATAAATAAATAAGCAAGCGAACAGCATGATGCAGCAGATGAGATAAAGTCAATGAATAACGATATTTCATGTTTGTTGGGACCTTCTATGTCGCCCAACTTTACATGGATTATCTCCTTTAATATTCTTAATAACACAGAAGTAGGTAGTATTATTATCCCCATTTTCCAGGGAAGGAAGCTGAGGCTCAGCAACCTTCCCATCTTGCTAAGGTCAAGCAGCTGGTTGGTAGTGTTTTCCTATTAATAATTTTCATAATGCTGTCCCGCCCAGGGATTTCTCACAGAGCCCAACCAGTAGTACACATTAACGACAGCTCCTTTCTTTTTCTCTCTTGGAGTAATAGAAGAGCAAAATAACTTTTTACCTTCCCCATATGTAAGAGAGTAAAGCCCAAACTCCCTGGCATGACCTCCAAGCCCCTGCCTACCCTTCAGATCCTTTCTTTCTCCTCCCCCTCTCGCATGTGCTTCTGTGCACAGGCAGCTCCTCTGCACCCACCACGATGCACGAGCCCACGGGGGCCTTTACTCACGCTGTGGCCTCTGCTGATGAACAAACCCAACGTCAGTTCTGCCATCACTCCTCTGGAAGACTTCCCTGCTTCCCACCTCACTTGCGCCCCCTTTACCACCTCTGCATGGTAGTGTACGCTCTCATATGCTATTTCTATTAATCGCCTCACCTGTCCATATATACCACCCTTTTGTACCCACCTGGGGGCAGGGGAGGTGCCTTATTCATCTCTGTTTACCCAGCTCCCAGCATAGGCTTGATGCCTGGGGAGCACTCAGTAAATGTTGCTGGAATTGAATTTAAATTGGGAAAGAAGAAAGCTAAAATATTTAAGTCTCAGTCCCAGTTTCAACAATCCCTGAGTAGGAGGCCCCAGTTTCCTTATCAATACTCTGGAGTTAGTAACAGCTGCCCAATGCTACGTGGAGCCTTTCTGTGGGTGGCAAACCCACACCTCTACAATGATGTGACCAGGATGCGTCTGAGACCTAGAGTGGCCCAGCCACATGTGTCATAGAAAACCCTAAGCTCATGAGACCAAATGTCCCTGTGACCATCATTTTTATAGCTTTTCACAAAAGTGTTCAGGGACACAGATGAGAAAGGAGAAGTTAATTCTGCGTCTAGGTTGAACTGACTCATTCCAGGGACAGTCACACAAGCTTAGATCTTGACCCAAAACCTTGCTGCTGAGCCCTTCTTTTCAGCTTCTTAGACTGGAAGCCTCCTGTGGAGTTCTAATTAGTCTGCTCTGTCATCAGAAAAGGCATAGAGAAAGAAGAAAGCCAACATTTATTAGGCACTTGCTGTGTGCCAGCCCATGTGCTACGAGCACATGTCGCCTCGTCTCTGTTTGTGATTTGGAGCAATGCAGCCACCAATCGTTCCCAAAGTTTGAACCTAGTTCTTCCACATGATGTTTGGGCCGCCCTGAGTGATTCCTTTAACTTCCTGTGCCCTCGTTTCTTTACATACAGAATGAACATGGTAATAGTACCTACACCACGGAGTTGTTCAGAGGATTAATGAAGTTAACAAAGGGAGTATAATTAGAATAGTGCCTTAGAATAATGCCTCACATGCAGAAAACCTCAGTACACACTTAGCTATTCCTATCATTTATCCCCATCTCACAGATGATGGAACAGAGGTTCAGAGATCACACAACTGGCGACAAGGCCAAGTGCAAATCCAGATGCCTCCAACTCTTCCCACAACCCCACCCTCATTTCCAAGCTCACCCAGGCCCACAGTGGAAAGAGAAACAATGCATGGGAGGAGAATGAAAACACAGAGGAGCCGAGATTTTCTTGGATCAGCCCTTTCCACTAAATTTGTCATTTTCTAATTGATTTGTCCATTTCCATCAAGTGTTCTCTCAGGCAGAGAACACAAATGTTATTAGAGAAAGCCACCTCTGCCCTGCAGCCCTGGGATGAGAAAGCTTCATGAGAGACAGAGACAGGGTGGGGTAGGGGCAGAGGAGACGTGTTAATTGATTGTTTATTCAATGGTAATTGCAGAAGCCAATCTTTTCAAGAGGTGGTATTCATCCCAGCCCAAAGCAGAGAAGTGGGATGTCAGAGCTTCTCCCTGGCTTGTAAGTGGGATTTTTCATGCTTTGGGAAGACTCCACTTCCCAAGGGGGGAGGATCCCTGGCCCTACTGGCCTCTCTCCCCCTCATCCCTCCTGGGGAAACCCACCCAAAGAAATAATAATAATAAAAAAAAAAAACAGCTCTGTGGCTAAAGTTTTCCTTCTGCTGGCTGAGCTCTTCCTGCCAATACAGAGCCAAGCTGGGTATCTCCCAAATGTATCAGAAGGAACATCTTGGGGACAATAGTCCATGTGAGTATTTACCTCCCTCCTCCTATCCCTTGAAGATGATGTTTTTTCCCCAAGGTCTATGGAGGAGAAAGTACAAAAGGTCAAGTTTAGAAGGAACTGTAGAGTCTAGGGATAGTGATGGGGAGAGAAGGAAGAGGGCTTGCTTAGGGCCACCTGACTGGACATTTGTGACTGTGGGAAGGCTGATCTCATGTATAATTAATATACTATATATTGGTTAAATTTATTTAAAAAACATTCTCCATCCCTGAGAAAAATCAATTCAAATCTAAAATCTCTGTGTGTCTATTATGTACCAGTACAACTCAGAGTTGAACAGATGAACCTATGTCCATGGGCAAGTTGCTTTATGTCTCAGTGTCTCAATTAGCTCATGGGGACCCTGGCAGGATTAAATGACATAGCACAGCATGGTCCCAGGAAATGTGAGCTCCCCTCCAATGTTAGTCTCCTATTTTCTCCTTCTGGGAAAGAACTTAAACTTGCCAGTCTGTCTCCGGGTGGTTCTTCCAGTCTCGGTTTCCAGTGTCTCTTCCCCATCATCCAACCTTCTTCTACCTCCTGAAGCCTCACCCACTCATGTTTTCATGGCTTCTTTATCCCATGAACTTCAGGTTTTCCCCAGTAATGCTCATTCCCTAAGCACGTCCGTAAGTTTCCCTCCTCTGCCTCATCGTCTGTCTTCCTGAATCTTAGCCTTTCGAAAGCTCACCCTCCCTGCAAAGCCCAGCTTCCATGTGATGCCCTCCATGTGTCTTCTCCTGACCACCTTCATCTGTAAAGTGGGAGTGATGATGATCACCTCTCAGGGCTGTTGGGAGGACCAGGGGCAACGCAGGTCAAAGTCCTAGTGTGGTGGCTGGCACATGGAAGATACTCGTTGATTAGCGTGAGCTACTTTGTTGCATCATTATGAGTACAATGATAATTGTTATTAATAGCAACACCCAAATCATCATCATCAATTTGAGCTGAAAATGAGTCCTCCCTTCTCTGTGCCCCTTAGTTTAAATTCTAGTACTTTATCACCCTGTTTTGGGTTATATTCACTGTGTGAGCACCTGTCTTCTCTATCTGGTTATGAGCTTCAAGCAGTTGGGACCAAGTCTTCGTCATCTCTGTATCCCTTAAATGTTCCTTCAAGAGAGAGACAGAGCTGCCATGGATAGGCAGCTGCCAAGCCCCTCCCTCTCCAATTGCATAATTTCAAAACAGGATGAGCAGGCCCAGGTCTCAGAGAAGTGAAGCAACTTGCTCAAGGTCACATATCAAATAAAGTACATAGAAGGGCCCGGCAACCAACCTCTATCCTCTGTGCCTGTGTGCACGGCACCCTGGTAGTAGTAAAGTCGCCTCTCCCTTTAGGTGGACACAGTTCTTTGCAAGGGTGCATAGCTTAGAGAGTCACCCATGGTACGATGGCAGCCTCTAGTCTCTCCCTCAGCTGGACATCCCTGTGCAGAAAAACCTGC